ATAGGATAGGGTAAGAGTAGGATAGGAAGATAGGAATGGATAGGATAGGATAGGATAGGATAAGAATAGGATAAGAATAGGACAGGACAGGACAGGACAGCTGGCTGGGAGCTTCTGGGAGTTGAAGTCCCGCAATCTTAAAACTGTCAAGCTTGGGCACCCCTGCCCCAGATACTCTTTGGGGGCTGCTCAGTGGGTTTAGCCCCTCCACCAAGTGAGCCACAGGTAGTCCCAGGAACCTCCCCACCCAAATTCTACTTTCCCCCAAGCCCCGAATGCCACTGCTAAGAAAACTCTCCCCTTTCCAAGATCCCAGGAAGCTGGGTAGAGCAAGAGGCTCTGAAGCCCTCAGGCCCTTGGGTCCCACCTCACCTGCCTCGTCCCACAGTCTGTAGACCACTTTCCTTCCAGGTAAGGTTGTCTTCTCGGGGTCTTCGGTCACTTTCAGCCTTGGAGAACCATTGACTTCCACCAGCTGAAGATGGAGCCAAATACAACAAGTTAATGACACTGGAGCTCGCTCAGGGCCACCTGCTCTCAGGTATGTGGCACGTTGCCCAGCAGGTGAGAGGGGCAGCCTATAAATTTAATAAATAACTGCAATTAGAAGTCCTTGCCGCTCTCTCAGCTTGGTTGGTTTCTTGCAGACATTTCATTACCCAACTAGATGCCAACACTGAGGGTGTTACCTTGCTGGGTCGTGAAACGTCTGCAAGAAACCCGCCAAGCTCAGAGAGCACCAAGGACCCCACAGCTCTCTCCTCCTCCTACCAAACCCACTTTCTTCTAGCATGGAGGATGTTACCTAGTTGGGTAATGAAACATCTCAATGAAAATCACCAAGCTCGGAGTGCACCAAAGATCCCTCATTCCAGTATTATATTTATTAAATCTAATAAATAATTTCATCCTCCCTTTGTCAACTAAAAAGAGACTCCTTTGGTCTTTTTAGCTGCCAGCAAAAAGGGAGTGGGGGAAAACAGTGCATTCCTTAAGTGCCTAGATAATCACCCTGGCAGCCCAAAGTTGTCAAGAGTGCAAGATTATTACTGGAGAGCATGACTGATGACTCTTGGCTATGGATGTGTCCCATTGGAGAATACACATCCAGTGGGTGGGGGGAAGACCAGGGTCAAGGATGAGATGAATGATGTATTTTAGTGTCGGCTACACCCGGGTAACACCGACATGACCACTCGTAATAAATCAATTTTCTTTTCTCTGAGAGGCGGCTGGAGACTTATGATTTGAATGGGGGTGGATTTGTTGGGAGTCCTGACACCCTTCCCCCTCCTCCTCCATAAAACCTGCATCACCCTGGGGTCCCCAGGCATATTTGCAGACCCACACGTCTTCAGAGCCTTGCCAAAGAATGTCGAAATGAGGGCCAGCCTTACCTCCGCAGGGTGGGAGCCACCACGGGGAAGGTCCCACCAGATGGACCCCAGTAAGTTTTATTATGACCTTTATTGTTGGAGTACAACATGTGTACGATGAGATTGGCTGAGCCTCCCTTCGTGCATTCCCCAAAACAACTCACAGTGAGGACAGAAGTCCCTAACCCAGTCCCAATCTTTTTACACTATGTGAACTTGTTGCACAACATGCTGGCCCTGCAAGTCTTTCATACTATGTTGACATGAAGTTATCTCCCGTTCAGAAGTCTGACAGCCCATGGGTAGAAACTCTTGTTCAACCTGTTGGGGCAGCTGGCTATGCTTCTATATCTCCTACCCGATGGTTGGAGAATGAAGAAGTGCTGACCGGAATGTGAGTCGTCCCTGAGAATTTTCTTCACTCTTCTAAGGCAGCGAGCCCTAGCGAGGTCATCTAGTGGTATCAGGGAACAGCCCACGATATTTTGTGCTGTGCTCACCACCCTCTGTAATGTCTTTCTATCCGCGGGTGTCAAGCCAGCATACCACACTGTAATGCAATGTGTGAGGACGCTTTCTATTGTGGACCGGTAAAAGGAGGCCATCAGTCATTGTTCCACTTTATTCTTTCAGAAAACCCTACGGAAATAGAGTCTCTGTTGGGCCTTTCTGGCCACCTGGGCTGTGTTGATTTTCCAGGTAAGATCTTCACTGAGGTAGACTCCCAGGAATTTAAAGGAGAAAACTCTCTCCACACAGCCCCCCTCGATGTAAAGTGGGGCAAGGTTCCTCTCTCTTCTTCTGGAAGTCTAACACCATCTCCTTTGTCTTGCTGATGTTCAGGTGCAGGTTGTTTTCTAGGCACCATGAAGGTAAATTTTTGAACTTCCCCCCTGTACGTTGTTTTGTCTCCAGTGAGGGGGCTCATAACATCTCCTGCCTCCCCACTCTGGTGGGTCAGGTGGAGGTAATGGCTGCATGGCTGGCTCAGGAATTCTGGGAGGTCAGGGCCATCCTATCCCATCTCCGATCTAAAGATTCTCTCCTGCCCCAAAGCAGAATTCCTGGCGTGCAAAGGTTGCGCTAGAGCCACGATGCCAAACTTATGGCATGCGTGCCACAGGTGGCACGCAGGGCCATTTGTGCCGGCACGCGAGCTGCAGGCAAACTTGCCTCACTGTGCATGCACGCGCCTCAACCCGCTGATTTTTCAGCTGGTTTGAGGCCTTTTTCGGCTTCCCAGAGGCTTGAAAAAAAGCCTCTGCAGGCTTTGCAGGGCGAATAATAGGCCCGTTTTGTCACTTCCTGTAATACCGGAAGTGATGGAACGGGCCTACTATTTGGCCTGCAAAGCCTGCAGAGGCTTTTTTCAAGTCTCTGGGAGGCCAAAAAAGGCCTCAAACCAGCCGAAGAATCAGCTGTGAAGTGCAGGTAAGGGGGGGAAATTGTGCATGCATGCGCAGAGGGCATGGGGGGCACACGCATTGCCTTCTGGGTGCTGGCACGCGAGCGTGCACACAATTTTTGGCACAGGAGCCCAAAAAGGTTAGCCACCACTGCCCTAGAGAAGCGATTTGGCTTTTGCCACACACCCGCTGAAGAGCATCTCCTCTGTCATCCCGTGCCAAAACATCGTTCTTGGGGAGGGGGAGGGAGGGAAGGAGGCACAGTTACCTTGTAGACGCAGCCCAAGGTCGTCTGAAGGGGACAGGTCACCAGGTGGGTCCCAACGCCAATCATATCAATTTCATTGCCCTGCCGGGAGCACAGCAAAACCAACATGGAACTCCTGAGGCCAGATTTACGGCTGGATCTCTCTCTCTCTCTCTCTATCTCTCTCTCTCTCACACACACACACAAATCTCACAATGTCACACAAATCGGAGCAGGCCAGGCTTCTGAACCTCAAAGGAACGGTGTCCTCTCCTGGCTTCAGAGGAGCTGAAGTGTCAGAGCAGCAGGGGGCTGGACTAGAAGACCTCCGCAGGGTCCCTTCCAGCTCTATCCTATTCCAACTCTCACTGCAAAGGGTAAGGAAGCCTTGGGGCCCTAGACAGCATCCTAAGGTATCCCCGCCACTCCACGCCAAGCTGCATGCATGCGCACAGCCTCACCTCTCGAGACAGTTCTTCTAAGCTTTGTTCACTGACATCGTTGCTCACCGTGATGGGTGTCGTCTCAAACCAAGGAACCTGGAAACTGGAATGGGAGAGATTGGGGGTTAAGGGACACCCCTTCCTCCAGAAGCCCTTCATTTCCCCACTACAACACACAGCCGCATCTATAGTCTGTGGCAAGGGGATCCAGCCTTCTCCATCAAGACTTTCTCAGTGCCACAAAAATGGAAAGATACTTTTAATTCCCACAATGGATAAATGGCTGGGGGGGAAGAAAAAACAACGGATGGAACTAACAGAGATGGCGAAATTGCCAGCTTGGATCCAAGAAAACACAGTGATACATTCAATTTCATTTCTACTTGGAAACCACTTCTAAACTTGTGCCTGAGATGGCGGAGGGAAAAAAATGAAATGTTGACTTTGGATTTTGCTATTGAGATAAGTTTGTTATAGGAATGATTAGGAAATATTAGGATAGGATCAGAGTCAATTGGGGTGAATGCTGTAGACGACTTTCTATGAATTATTTGCAATAATAGATGGTTAATACAGGGCTTTGAAGTTTAACTTTGCTGTCAATTCACCTGTTAACTAATTTCTTTCTTTATATATAAAACTAGCTGGATACCCGTGCTTCGCTACGAAACTATGTGATCGGGCTTAGTTTTTAGGGAGGAAAATAAGGAGAGAAAAAATTCTGCCTCTGCCTGCCAGATTCCATCGGTATTCATCCGGCTAGCGACCTGTATGTGTGTGAGAGTTGAGGGCGGTTTGGAAACTGAAACAGTATTTGCTGTGTGAGCAAGGAGACAGCAAGGAGCCTGGGCGTGGCTTAGCTCAACTGTTCTGGACTAAAGCTGCTTGTGCTGTGAAAATTGAAACTCCTTTCCTCTCTGCTTGTGTTTTGCATTTGGAAGAGATTTCTTTTCAGGTGGGGAGTGTGTTAATAATAATAATATAGGAAATACTCTAAATGCTCTGATGGTCATTTCAAAAAATCCTTTCTTAGTGAGCACCTAGAAGCCAAGAGGAAAAATACGTGCCAAATTTCAAATTTGTAGGCTTTACGGTTCTAGAGATTTTGTGATGATGTGTGAGGGGCATTTCGCTTATATATATATATATATAGAGAGAGAGAGAGATGTATGACAGATCAAATTGGGTTGCAAATAGATGCAGACATTATAAATTTTGGACCTGTTTCAGAAGCAAAAAAGCTATTATTTTTTCAAAATATCTGTCAGTGTTCAATTGGGGGGAGGATAACATATGTTTTGAATTTTTGTCCTGTTTAACCCTCATCTTTTTTTTAAAAAAAAAATGTTTTGTCTAGTTTTGTTTTGTCTTTATTTTTCCCCTTTGGATTTTAATTTTTCTGAATAAAATACAAAAAGGAAACACAAGTTTGTAAAAGTACAAAGTTCATGATCTTAATTCTCCTGTGCTAAAAAGGGTCGAAGGTCAATGATATAATTCTTTTTTTCCTCTTTATCCTATACTTTTCTTCTCCCATTTCCCCACCATTTTCATTTTCTTTTGTGCTTTCATATCTTGATCAACCTATTAAAATTAGTAACAATAATAGACTCCCTTAGTGTTAGGGATTGAATTTGAATCTGGAAGAACCTTCTGCCTAATCCCTCCCATCCCTAGGATGGATTTAAACTCTGCAGAATTTAAACTCTTTTTTTGCAAGATGAGCAAGGAAGCCTGGTGCCAACATCCAGCTGGAGAATCCAAATAAAAATCCAGGATCATTCCTGCTTCAAAATTCCTTACTGTTCATTGAATACACAGCATTGTACGAGGGCTATCCACAAAATAGATGACGTTTTCGTCTGTAGCAAGAAGGGGCGGAGCTAGCGCGGCCATCTTTGGTCTGTGCGTCCCGCCGCTCAGTCTGCATCTAGTCGTGCTAGTGGGAGGTTCGTAGCGTTGCCCGTTATTTCACAGCAAACGTTTTGAAATGTGTGCTGCAATTGAAAATCCCGCGAGATACAGCCCCGATCTTGCTTTAGGGCGGATGAGGGAAAAATCTCCCGCTTGAAAGCATTCAGGACTTCTCGAGTGCGATTTGCTGTGTGTGGTCGGGCATTTTCATACAAAAACAAAATTTTTGAGCTTAGCTTTCCTCTACGCTTGTTCTGAATGGCTTTTCTTAAGTTTTTGCAGGGTTTCACAATAATTTCAATCGGTTTATGGTTTTTTGCCAACAAAAACCTTATCACGGATCGCACCTCACACCTCGAGGGGTTTTCAATTGCAGCACACATTTCGAACGTTTGCTGTGAAATAACGGGCAATGATACGAACCTCCCACTAGCACGACTAGATGCAGACTGAGCGGCGGACGCACAGACCCAAGATGGCCGCGCTAGCTCCGCCCCTTCTTGCTACAGACGAAAACGTCATCTATTTTGTGGATAGCCCTCGTAATATCTAAGCAAAATTAACTCTGGGGTTCCTAAACCTCAGTCCCTAGAATAAAACAACACTTTTCCAAGCCAAAGCGCCAACCTCTCACGTAGTCCGTCCGTGTGAAACAGGTTCTCGTACTTACGGGAACCGTCCGCTCCACACCTATGGCAATGTCCTTGAACAGATTTTAGGCTTCTCCGGCCTTCAGCAGAATCGTAGAAGTTTCGTTTCCCCATCTAACTGTTCTGACCCAGCTCCCCAACCCACGACAAACCCTCTGTAGTTGAAGCATCGGTTCCTTTATTAGGAGTGCCGGCAGCCCTGGCAATATTTTCTCTTTCACCGCAGGCTAACAAGTCCGTCGGTGCAGGAGACGAGTAGTTGTCTGCTACATCTATTCATCTCTGTCCCCTGCCTTTTATCCCCAGGTGGGGCTTTGCTAACAGCCGTGGCTCTTCCGTTCCCAAGGACCAGCCCATAGATTTCCACTGCTCTCCTCTCCTCTGCCTTCTGTGCATCCGTGTGTCAGGCACTGGACCCAGATGTTCCTCCTCTTCCTCATCAGTCACCTCCAGACCTGGGGGCTGTTGACTCCCCATCTGAGGGCTGTCTGTTGTGGTTCACCGGCAGCAGGGCTGAGGTCTCGGAGAGCGAGGACTTGGATGAGGGGCCTGTGTGTGATTCAGGGATGGGGCCAGGACTGTCAGAGAGTGGGGTGCTGCCTTCGGATCTTAGGGAGGCTGGCAGCAGTGATGCAGAGCAGCCTGAGGAGCCAGTGCCCAGTGTGCATGCTCGAAGGAAATAGTAGCTGCAGCAGCACAGGCGACTCAGGAGTAAGGCTGCAAGGTGATGGCCCCTCTCTTAAGGGATAAAAGCCAGCCCTCAGAGGTAGGATTCTTTGCAGGAAGCAAAGAAATTCTTGCCCTTCAAGTCTTGTGGAAGTTCACTTTATGCCTATACACATAACTATAACCTTTTGACTTCTCCTGCTGGAGGAAGGCATGCCAACCCGACTGTAAGTTGTAACCTTCTAGTGTCCGTATTCTTTTATTTCTATGACTAATCCAATCTTTCACCCAAGTTAATATTGTGGCTCTGTAGTACAACTCCCAGTCGGGCAGGCCAAATCCTCCTCATTAAAAAGGTTTTGCTTTTATCTCTGTTTGGTGTTTCGTTTGCTTTGAACGAGGCTTGGGTCAGAACACTGTCAGACGGCCCAGCTCCACCTCTGTCCCTCTCTCTGCCAGCTCCATTCCTTCTTCCCCCTCGGAGCTCCCAGGTTGCCTTGATGCTGGCCCTGACTCTCATGCCACCTCCTCCTCCTCCTCCTCCTCCTCCTCCTCCTCCTCCTCCGATTCGGCTGCTGGAGAGGCCAGCAGCCCACAGCCCACAACACTAATCCAATCGAAAGCAACACCTCCCGCCTCTTACTCTAAGGGCAAATTGAAACCAAGAGGCCCCAGCTGTCAGTGTTTCATCCTTGACATCCAGGGAGAGTCAGCCCAACAACCCCTCAACTCACTGCTTGCTACAAGTCCGAAAGACGTGACGGATCTCCACCGACTGCTTGGCCAGGTCTCCGCTGTCCAGCCGGACTCCAATGGCTCGGTATCCCAGCTGGTTCAACGCCAGGGCGACGGCACAGAAGTTGGGAATGCCACTCCTAAGAAGATCAAAGTTATCAGTCAGGCTTTCCTAAGGGATCATGCCTGAAGGCTCACAGAAGAGGCCATTCTTGATTTGCTCAATACAGTTAGTCCTCGAGTTATGAAGCACAATGGAGCCTCAAACTTCTGTTGCTAAGCGAGGCGGTTTTTTAATTAAAAAAAGTATATGTCATAAAAACATCATCATCCTTCATAAATTTACAGACAGTGTATCGGTTGGTTTACCACTCCTTTTTGTGCATCCATTTCATAGTCATCATAGTAATTATATTACATAGTAATTATATTGTTATGTTTTATGTTTTATGTGTTTTTTGTTTGTTGTTAAAATTAATAAAACTTTTACTTAAAAAAAAAAAGTATATGTCTTAACTCTTGACGAATGAATCTTTTCTTTGATGCATACTGAGAGCATTTGCACCAAGACAAATTCCTTGTGTGTCCAACCACACTTGGACAATAAAGAATTCTATTCCACTCCATTCCATTCCAATTCCAATTCCAATTTTATTCTGTTCTTTTCTATTCCATATTTTCTATTCTATTCTATTCTATTCTATTCTATTCTATTCTATTCTATTCTATTCTATTCTATTCCTTATTTTCTATTTTATTCTATTCAATTCTACTCTACTCTGTTCTATTCTATTCCATATTTTCTATTCTATTCTATTCTGTTCTGTTCTGTTCTATTCCAATTTCTATTCTATTTTATTCCATTCCATACTTTCTATTCTATTCTGTTCTGTTTTGTTCTGTTCTGTTCTATTCTGTTTGGAGAAACTATTCACAGGATGTCTGTCTTATAGTAACATTTCTTAAAAGGTACTCCCAGACTCTTTCTGATATTGTGTTTAACAGTAGATTAACACAGTTCTCCTCCTACATTGTTATAAAAAAGTTAAGTGAGAAGTTTCTTTTTAAAAAGGGGGAAAGTGTGAAGAGACTTCACACATGTATTATAGAGTATTTTTCCTGATGGGATTTTCAACAGGGGTCTAAAAGAAGATTCAAATAAGATACTCTCACCAATGAAGACAAGCCATTAGTACATAAAATAAGAGCAAATCCCACTCTCTTCTAGCACTGATGATGTTCTCTAGTTGGGTAACGAAACGTCTGCAAGAAAACCACCAAGCTCAGAGAGCGCCAAGGACTACCAAGTTCAAAACGGAGCTAAAAATATTCTCTTCTATTAGATTCAAATGAGCGTATATGGAAGACTTCCCAATCAGTTATTGTCCGATGGAATTCTATCAATTCCATTATCTATGACAAATTCATTCATCCCCAGATCTTCAGATTAAATCTGATTCCTAGCAACTTCACGGATAAGAGTGTGAGTCTTACAGAAATGGTTCATCCTTGCCTTCTTCTAGATGTTGCTTTGGTCTTCAGGATCCCTTAGTGGTCTCCCTTCCAAGGCCTGACATCCCCCCTCCCTACTTAGCTTCTGACCGCAGCCAAGGATGACCAGGCCAGTCCCACCCATAAATCTCATCCTCTTAAGATTGATCCCTTGACCAGGCCAGTCCCACCCATAAATCTCATCCCCTTAAGATTCCACCTAAAATAAATGTGGATATTAACATTCTATTGTAGAAAACGAATGGTATGTGGAATCTGATTGACCCAAAAATAATATAGTGCAACATGGCATAAGATAATGAAAAATCACAACTTAATAAAAGCAATTATACTATTACTAGAATAACACAAGATGTTAAACATAAATATGATGAATATTATTTTATTTACATTAAAATGTGACTTGAAAGGGGATGCTTTAAATATAATAGTGCCGTGATGGCAAACCTATGGCGTGGGTGCCACAGGTGGCATGCAGAGCCATTTATGTGGGCACGCGAGCCCCAGCTAAACTACGCATGCGCATGCCTCCCCTCCGATTTTCGGCCCGTTTGAGGCCATTTTCACCCTCTCCGAGGCTCAAGGGAAGCCTCTGCAGCCTCAGGAGGCCGAAAAAATGGGCCTTCCGGAAATACCAGAAGTGACGAAACGGGCCCGTTTTTCGGCCTCCCAAGGCTGCAGAGGCTTCCCTCGAGCCTCCGAGAGGGCGAAAATGGCCTCAAACGGGCTGGAAATCAGCTGCGAGGCGTGTGCATGCGCAGTGCAGGTAAGAGGGCGGGGGGGGGTTGCACGAGCATGTGCAGGGGTGGGGGTGGGGCACATTGCATTATGGGTGCCGGCACGCACGCACACGTGTGCTTTCGGCACACCGCAACAAAAAGGTTCGGCATCACTGTAATAGTGGCACAATTAAAAATTAAAAAGGGGATACATGGAAAAATTAATACACTAATATGAATTTGGGAATCGTTATTAGAATTATATAATGTGTTAAAACACTGCAAATATGATTATTAATATAGGATCTGCAGTAAAAGGAGCGATGTTAAGAATCTGGGGGTTGACATAAAAATAACATACTGTAATAGTGAATAAACAAGATTGATCGTTTAACAAAATATGTGTTATTAAGATCCAATCTGGTAAGAATGTCAGCTGTATCCAAGATGAAAACTACTGCCGTGTTTGTTTTAAAATGTAAGGCATTCCGGAATCGCACTGTTCATTCCCACAATGATATGTTGAAACACAAGAAAAAAATAAATAAAAGATGCATTGCAAAAATAATAATAATAATAATAAAGATTCAACCTAAAAAGCGGTGGTGTTTCCAGCCCCTCCTTTTCCTTACCTCATGACGCAGTAAGTGTCCACCAGGCCTTGGAAGTTGTGCGGGTAGGCGATGGCGTAGGACATGAAGGCCGCCCTCTCTCCGCAGCTCACCTTCTCCGGCGGGACTCGGAGTAATTGGCACACTTGAGTCAACCACTTGTCCACTAAGGTTGGAAGGTCCACGGGCTCCTTCCCATTCAGGGGCAGCAGGCTCTACTGGGGAAAAGAGAGAGACTGGCCAACCTCTTCTTATCAAGGAGACTGACTAGTTCAACCACCCTCTTTAAGAGTTTTGGATTTCTCAGTTGTTGCTCAGAAAGGACCTTCCGCAGATGCTTCTTGAAGACGAAGGAGCTCCGTCCACTTACAGGACTTCCTGGCTCCTTGGTCAGGTCTTCCCACCCAGGCCAATGTCTGTTTGTCTAATCCCAAGGCAGGAGATTCTGCAGGGAAAAAAACCACGGCTACCAACCTGCCTTCCATGGAGGACCTGTCATATCCTGGGGCAATCCAAAAGCTCAAAGACCACAAACTTCTCCTGGCCAGCAATGAACACCCAGAGAAGCAGAGTAACGCCAAGCAGTAAGTAATAACCCAGTTAAAAAGGACCAACAACCTGATCAAGGAATCACTGAGAACACAACACAACTGACAGGGCGAGCCACTTGTACATAAACAGAGAAGGAAACCCCGCTCCATTCTAGCACTGATGAGGTTACCTACTTTGGTCATGAAACGTGCAAGAAAACAAACCAGAGAGAGAAGGAAGGAAGGAAGGAAGGAAGGAAGGAAGGAAGGAAGGAAGGAAGGAAGGAAGGAAGGAAGGAAGGAAGAAAGGAAGGAAGGAAGGAAGATATAATTGCTGATGATACCTAGCTGGGTCATGAAACATTTGCAAGAAAACCACCAAGCTCAAAGAGCACCAAGGACCACAGTTCAATCCTGACCTACCTTCTCTTCTACTGATACTGTCTATCTCTATCTTCAATGGTCTTTAGATCCATAGAAAAACCTCACTTTCTCCCAATGTAGAAAACAACTGAATTTCTAGCTTCCCATCCACCTTTAATTATCAAGGGAGGCAACAATCCTTTGTGATTTAACTAAGTTTCCTTGGTCTATTTGCATCGAGCTTGGGATCAAGGCAAGATGGAGAGTAACAGACTGGGGGGGGGTCCTCTGGTATGTTACAGGCACCCAACTTTTTGTACTAACGTTGTGAGAACGAGCCATCAAAACATCACGGAGCCCATTCACTGAACTACAGTAGCACGTGATCGAAACACGGTGATGGCCTTGTGTCATCCCGGTGTTTAGCTTCTTGTGAGAATCGCCTACCCGAGGCAGAACAAACCCTTTCTTGAAGGACAATAAAAGGGAGCCCGTTTCAAGCAACTTAACAGCATAACAGGGTTGGAAGGGACCTTGGAGGTCTTCTAGTCCAACCCCCTGCTCGAGCAGGAGAGCCTATATCAGCGATGGCTAACCGCCTGTGTGCCTGCACCCATAATGCGATGCGCCCGTCCCCCCTGCGCATGCATGCGTCTCTCTCTCTCTCTCTCTCTCTCTCTCTCTCTGCGCATGCACGGCAGATACCCATCAGCTGGCTGGCAGGGCAAGGGCGCGCACTTCTGGCACACATGCCATAGGTTTGCCATCATGGCCCTAGACTATTTCAGACAAAGGGTTGTCCAGTCTCTTCTTAAAAACCTCCTTTGATGGAGCAACTACAACTTCAGGTGGCAGGCAGTTCCACTGCTCAATTGTCCTCCCTGTCAGGAAATTCCTCCTTAGTTCCAAGTTGCTTCTCTCCTTGGTTCGTTTCCATCGGTTGCTTCTTGTCCTGCCTTGAGGGGCTTTGGGGAATAAACTGACACCACCACCACCACCTTCTTTGGGGCAGTTGAACCACAGGGGTCTTTTGGGGAACTTCTCCTGCCCCCCCTGAATACTAACCCGTGGGTTGACGTCGTCCACGGAGGTAAAGGAGGAGACGTAGGAATGAGCCAACGTTCCCTGCGCTGGGATCCCGTAGAGTTTCCCGGCCAGGACGTTGCTGGTAAAATCAAAACCTGGAAAAAGGGTAAATTTGGGAGATGGGGGGAGAGAATTAGGAGACAGGCGCTTAGACAGAACATCCGAGGATCTCTCTTCACCAGCATTCGGGAGAACCCCTGGGGTTCATGCAGAGATGGATCCAGGCAGTCCTTGGCTTACGGCCATTCCTTTAGTGACCAATCAAAGCTACAACGGCACTGAAAAAGGTTTGTTACACCTGACAGGTGATAGACATATTCACAGATAAATGATAGATGGGATGGAGAGAGTGAGAGAGAAAGGGAAAGAGACAGGGAGAAGGGAGAGAAAGAGGGAGAGAGGGTGAGAGAGGGAGAGGAATAGAGGGAGAAAGGGAGGGAAAAAGGGAGAGGAGAGGGAAGGAGGGAAGTAGAGAGGGAGGGAGGGAGAGGGAGAGAAGGAAAAAGAGAGAGAGAGAAGGAGGGAGAGAGAAAAGGAAAGGGAGAGAGAGGGAAGGAGACAGAGGCAGGGAAAGAGAAAGGAAGACGGAGGAAAAGGGAGACGGAGGAAGGGAAAGAGGAAGGGAGAGGGAGGAAGAGAGAAGGAAAGAGGGAGGGAGGGAGGGAGGGAGGGAGAAAGGGAGGGAGGGAAAGAGGGAGGGAGGGAAAGAGGGAGGGAGAGGGAGGAAGGCAGAAGGAAAGAGAGGGAGGGAGGGAAAGAGAGAGGGAGAGGGAGGGAGAAAAGAGGGAGGGAAGGAGAAAGGGAGGGAGGGAAAGAGGAAGGGAGGGAAAGAGGGAGGGAGAGGTAGGGAGGGAGGAAGGAAGGAGAGAAGGAGAGGGAGGGAGGGAAAGAGGGAGAGGGAGGGAAAGAGAGAGGGAGAGGGAGGGAGAAAAGGAAGGAGGGAGAGAGAAAGGGAGGGAAAGAGGAATGGAGGGAAAGAGGGAAGGAGAGGGAGGGAGGAGAGAAGGAAAGAGAGGGAGGGAGGGAAAGAGAGAGGGAGAGGGAAAGAGGCAGAGGGAGGGACGGAGAAAGGGAGAGGGGGGAAAGGGAGACGGAGGAAGGGAAAGAGGAAGGGAGGGAAAGGGAGGGAGGGAGGAGAGAAGGAAAGAGAGGGAGGGAGGGAAAGAGAGAGGGAGAAAAGGAAGGAGGGAGGGAAAGAGAAAGGGAGGGAGGGAAAGAGAGGGGGGAAAGAGAGGGAGAAAGGGAGAGGCATTTTGTAGCCATGGCCATCCCCCCCCGCAAGCACTTTCAGCCTCCCTGCGGAGTTGGTCTCAGGGTCTGGTCTACCTGGTGGGACTGATCCCCGGCCTCCCACCGCAGCCTTCGAGAGGAGAGTCACAAACTGGACCTTACCGCCCACGTAGGAGTACTTGGACGCCGAGAGGCCTCCGTCCAGCCCCTGAGCCCGGCGTAGACCCATCTCCATCAGCTTCTTGCCCGGGCCGGCTGCAAGACGGAACCGGGCGGCGTTTGTGGCCACCAGGCTGCAGAAGCAAAATCCATTTGGAGAACGTCAGGCCTGCCGCAACTTAAAACTCAAAATAAAAACGACCCCTGTCTCCATTGGTTGAAAAGGGTATAGTTTTGTTCGAGCGGCCGGTATGCTGCAGTATCGAATAGCCAGAACTGAGAACTGCATGCCAAAAACCCCAAGTTCAACCTTTCCTAGCCTTACCTGCCGCCCATGGCCCCCTATAACCAAGCAGGTTCAGACAAGATGTTTTCATGATGATCAGTTCAAGCCAGGGGTGGGAGTCACATTGCTTAACAACCGGTTATGTGGGCGTGGCCTAATCTGTGGGTGTGGCTTGGTGGTCACGTGGCTGGCTGGGCGTGGCTTGCTGACTGGGTGTGGCTTGGTGGTCACATGACTGGCTGGGCATGGCTTGTATTTTAATATTGTAAATATTTATGCAACTATTGAATTTTTTGTATTAGAAAAAGAGCAACTTTTACCCAAAATCAGGCAAACCAAGCAGGCCGATTGAGTTGCTCGCAGAATCACAGATTCACTCAGAGATCTATCTATCTGCAATCTGCTACCTGAGTCCGTCACATAAAATTTGCTTGCAAGCAAACTCATAACATTTGCTTGCAAGCAAACTCATAACATTTGCTAGCAAGCAAACTCACAAAATTAACTCACAACACACCATGTATGTAAATATTGAATTTTTTATTTAAAAAATAGCAACTTTTACCCAAAATCAGGCAAAGCAAGCAGGCCGATTGAGTTGCTCGCAGAATCACAGATTCACTCAGAGATCTATCTATCTGCAATCTGCTACCTGAGTCCGTCACATAAAATTTGCTTGCAAGCAAACTCATAACATTTGCTAGAAAGCAAACCCACAAAGTTAACTCACACCATGTATGTAAATATTGAATTTTTTTTTATTAGAAAAAGAGCAACTTTTACCCAAAGTCAGACAAAGCAAGCAGGCCGATTGAGTTGCTCGCAGAATCACAGGTTCACGCAGAGATCTATCTTTCTGTAATCTGCTACCTGAGTCTGCACTGAAAAATAGAAGCTTCAGTCCTAAGGAAGGTTCAGCTCTGCTTTTAGATTAGCTAAAAAAGAAGAAATCCAACGGTTTCCTGCTTTCTAGCTAATCTAAATCTGCTGGCATAGCAGAACAGCTCATGGCTGGGGGAAAAAAAAAAGGAAAAATAGCAACTTAGCAGGCAAGTTTGATGGCGTGCATACCAGGTAAGGAGTGAGTAGGGGAGGGGCCAACCAGTGGCGCAATTTTCTGGTTCTCTGAACTGGGCAGAATCATCACAACTGGTTCTATAGAGCCAGGTAGAATCCCACCCCTGGTTCAAGCTCAGGTTGAAATGCGACCCTCCTTTTGCCAGCCAAGTGACCTTGAAGCAGGATCTCGAGGAGATAGAGCGGTTACTTTCAATTTCCCAAGCGTTCCTCCTTTCATCCACCCTCCCTACAGTTCAAGGCAAGTCTATCGCTACATAGCAGTGAAACTTAAGCTTAACGTGGCAGCTGACAGAGAATTAACTACTTACCATAATATTACCTGGTCAGCTATTCATTTCAGAGCAATCACACAGTTAAGGGCACTGCAAGGACTGGTTGCCTTTTTAAATTTACTTTTACATTCTGTTCTTTCTTAAAGCACGTGAAAAGTTGGCATAAAATGATTCACCACCTAAACTTTGAACGAGCATTTACAGAGCCTGGTGACTTCGATAGACATGTCACACCAAAAAATATCATGTGGAAATCTAGACATATCCTTTACAACTGAATCTACAAAATCTACTTATTTTGTCATGTAGTATATATTGGAGGGAGTGACCCTCTGAGAGCTGTAGGCAACAAAAGTTCATTTTAATGTATGCCAATTAGGGTACATTCAAAGTGACAATAAAGTTATTATTCTATTCCTTATTCTATTTCTATTTCTTATTCCTTATTCTATTCTATTTCTATTACATCTCTTATTCTATTTTTATTCCTTATTCTATTCCTATTCCTTATTCTATTTCTTATTCCTTATTCCTTATTCCCTATTCTATTCTATATTCTATTCCTTATTTTATTTCTATTCCTTATTCTATTCCTATTCCTTATTCTATTCCTTATTCCCTGTTCTATTCTATTCTATTCTATTCTATTCCTTATTCTAATTCTGTTCCTTATTCCCTATTCTATTCTATATTCTATATTCTATTTCTATTCTATTCCTTATTCTAATTCTATTTCTTTATACTATTTCTATTCCTTATTCCTTATTCCTTATTCTATTCTATTCTATTCTATTCTATTCTATTCTATTCTATTCTATTCTATTCTATTCTATTACTTATTCTATTTCTATTCCTTATTTCTTATTCTATTTCTATTCCTTATTCTATTCCTATTCTATTATCTGCTGTTTTTTAATCTATCCATTGCTAAAACTCTTGTTCCTGTAACCCGAGTGCAACAGTGCATCATAGGACAACAACTTTTGAACCAAGGTACTTCAAATGGGATAGCTCGTAAAATTTGCCCAAAATTTGGAATCCAGGACTCCTGTGGAATGTATTACCTTTACTCAGTAAACCTTGGAATATCAATCTCAGATCCACTGGGGGAAAAAGTGGTTAAATTTCCCAGGAAAAGATAAGCCCAACATCATAACACTGAAAAAGCTTTCGAAATGGACGACTGGGTTGATTCACGTTCAAAACGGGTCATGTTGAGCTGGAAAGGTTTCAACCCTAAAATATTCTACGCGTCACTTTAGATCAGAGGTCTCCAAACGTGGCCCCTTTAAGACTGGTGGACTTCAACTCCCAGAATTCTCCAGCCAGCGATGCTGGGAGTTGAAGTCCACCGGTCTTAAAGGGGCCACGTTTGGGGAGCCCTGCTTTAGGTCAACACAGGGACCCTTTTGTTGGGGTTGGGACCACGCCAAACCTCCTAGACTCACCTGGCGTAGTTCACCAGGCACAGCAGGGTGGTCTCCATAAGCTGGACCACCAACAAGGGGCCTCTCACCTGGAGTAACGGCACCTGGGTGAGCAGAATCAGAGAAGGGAAGGGGAAGCATCAGAGGAGTTAGGCAACCTCAGCCAGGCTCCTTGGGACACTCTTCAGAACATACCATCCTTCTGGGTGGAAGTTGTGGGCTAGTTAAATGAACAATCCTCCCTTCCCTTCATGTCATCCTCCATCCCTTCTCCTTCCTTCCTTCCCGCCTCCTTCTTCTTTCTTTCCCACCTTCCCTTTTACTTCCTTCCTCTATCCCTTCCTTCCTATTCCTTCCTTCTCCCTCCTTCCTTCCCACCCTCCCTCCTTCTCCTTCCCCCTTTCCTTTCCTCCTCTCCCACCCTTCTTTCCTATCTTCCTTTCCTCCCATCCTTTCTTTGCTCCCTCCTTCCTCCCACCTTTTTCTCCCACCCTTCTTCCTCCCTCCCTCCCTTTCTTCCCACTCACCCTCCTTTCCTTCCATCCCCTTTGTCTCTTCCCTCCTTCCTTCTATTCCTTCCTTCCTCTCTCCGTCCTCTCTTTCTTCCCTGTTCCTTCCTTCTTCCCCATCTTCCTTCCTTTCCTCCCGCCCATCTCCCTCCTTTCCTTCCTTCATTCCCTCCCACCTCTTCCTTCCATCCTCCCCTCCCTCCTTCCTTCCACCCTCTTTCCCTCCCTGTCCTCTTTCTCTCTTCCCTATTCCTTCCTTCCTTCCTTCCTTTCCTCCCACCCTTTCTTCTTTCTATCACTTCCTCCCTTCTTCCTTCCTACCCAGCTTCCTTTTCTTCCTCCTTCCTTCCTTCCCTCCCAAGGCAAAAAAAAGACCAGCATTCTGTCCTTCTGGAACAAACAAACAAGGATATTTACGCTGCCCCTTCTCAGGGGGACACTGCCGAAAGCTGCACCCACCCTGGAGAAGACAACCGAACCCTCCGGGGCAGATGAGATGCAAACTTCGGAGGCATCGACGGTGTGCAAGTATTCGAAGAAATCTTCCTCGGTTGTCGCAGGAAGGACGGACTTCAGGTACTCGATATCTGAAACGAAAGAAAGCCAAGTAAGAAATCAAAGACACTTTTCCCTTGAAAAGGGAAACTTTTTAAGACTGGGAAGAAGACCAAGTAAAGCTCACAAAAGAAAGGGGGGGAAACTCATCAAGGAGAGAAGCAACTTGGAATTAAGGAGGAATTTCCTGACGGTGAGAACCATTAACCAGTGGAACAGCTGGCCACCGGAAGTTGTGGTTCCTCCATCACCGGAGGTTTTTAGGAAGAGATTATACAGCCATTTGTCTGGAATGGTATAACATTTCCTGTTGGAGTACGGGGTTGGACTAGATCAGTGGTCGCCAACCACTGGTGGTCCGTGAGAAAAGTTTGGTGGCTCACAGAGAAATGTCCCCCCCTCCCCCAAAGCAACTAATCCAGGCTGCGTGGGAACACAAGGCTGCGCCACCCACATGGCCCGTGGGAACACAAGGCTTGCGTCGCTTGCATTGCGAACAACACGAGGTAGTGAGGGGAGGGGGGAAAGGGAGGAGAGGGGGGACTTGCCCCATGCACCTCATGCGCCTGGCCTGGCCATCGGGCTGCTTCTTTCCGCTTCTTCCTTCTTCTGCTTTTGGCTGCACACAAGGAAAGCAGCCAAAGTCTTCCTTTCTCTCCCCCAAACTCCGCCAGAAATGAGTCTTTGGGACCCTGCAAGGCCTCCTGCTCCAAGAGGCTGCGCCGGCGCAATAAGTCACACAAAGACTCATTTCTGGCAGAGTTTGGGGCAGAGAAAGAAAGACTTCTGCTGCTTTCCTTGCATGAAGCCAAAAGTCTCTCTCTGTCTCTCCCCCTGAGAATGGAGCTGGAGACGTTATCCTGTGATCCCAAATAAAGAACGATTGATCGGTAGGAAAACGGGGTGTGGGATTTTCCTGCAGACTTTTTTTGGATTTTCTCAAGGTCTCTGTTCCGCGGGATTGAAAATTATGATTTTGGAGGTCCCTGAGGTCCAAAAGTTTGGCGACCCCTGGACTAGATGACTACTACTACTACTACTACTACTACTACTACTACTACTACTTCTTCTTCTTCTTCTTCTTCTTCTTCTTCTTCTTCTTCTTCTTCTCCTCCTCCTCCTCCTCCTTCCTTCTTTTCTTCCTCCTCCTCCCCTTCTCCTTCTTCTCCTCCTCCTCCTTCTCTTCCTTCTTCCTCCTCCCCTTCCTCCTCTTCACCAACCTCCCCTCCCTTCCAGCACTGAAGATTATCCCGACTTGGATCACAAAACATCTGCAAGAAACTAGGCAAGCTCAGGGAGCACCAAGGAGCAGAGCTACAGGCATTCCCTTCAAACACACACAGACATGCAAGCTACTCGGTGTGGCCTCCAAACACGCCTCAGCAGTCTCTCGCACTTAAAAGATGTGTCTTTCCACAGCCCCGAGTGGAAGCCCACACCCTCTCCCTCAGAAGTGTGTGTGTGAGTGCACGGGTGCCAGAGGCTGGGAAGGGCAGCCAAGGCGATCTCAGCCGCCAACGATACCTGCCCACACAAGACTCCCTCTTGCAACATCTCCAGGCAAGCCTGAGAACCAGCTGTTGGGCGGAGAGCAGATGTGGCTACATCTCAATTTGTGATTTACACCTGCACCTGTGATGACCCCGGGTGGGATACAAAATAAACACAGTCACAAAAACAGGGGAACCCCCTTTTATTCCTTCACTTTGCTTCAAAGCTCCAAATATCCTTGACTGGAGACAAAAAACTCCCCCACAAACAGTTACGAGCAAATGCCGTTTAAACTAAAAATACCTATAAACGATAAAGAGTAAAAACAACACAAACCACACTGAAGCAATTAAGGGAACCAGGCAAGATAAGGGCTTGAAGACGTCCACAGATATCGGAACACACACTGGGAAGGACGCCAAACTCAAGAGAGGAACGACAGACTAGAGATATTTCCATGCTTTGTTTCCAGCGCTGGCCCATACGCATGTCTGTCCTTTTAACCAGTTCTCACAGCTGCAGCCCATGAAGGGGATCAAGGCCCTCTCCTCCCAAGGAGACCACATCTCTCCCTTATCCTCTCCTCCCTGCGTGCCCTAGGATGGAAAGAGGATGGGCTTGGGTCCTCCTCTGACTACCCAGCTGGCCTCTGCCCTTCCCCAGCCTCCTCCACAACCTCCGGAGCCACACCTCCACTCCTTGTCGGGTGTTCCTCCTCTCCCTCAGAGTCAGTCTCCACCGGGGGCATGACAGCACCTTTCAGTGGCTCACCTGGTGTGGAAGAGACACGCTCCCAACTTGGACCTCTGATGGCAGGAAGATACAAGTAGCACCCAAAGGAACCCACATCTTAATATTTTGGGAGGAATAAAATACTTTTTAATATTGCTACATAGGTAGTCCTTGACTTACAATGGTTTGTTTAGTGACCGAAGTTGCAACAGCATTAAAAACAAGTGACTTATGTCTGTTTTTCACACTTAACGACCGTTGCAACATCCCCATGGTCACAGGATCAAAATTCAAAAGGGGCGCACACACGCATGGGTGTGTACGTGTGTGATGACCCAGAGTGTTAACACAAACGTAACCAAATCCAAAATGTAAATAAATGTCCTTTAATGCCTCCAATTTGGGGGGCCCTGTTCAATAATACTCAGTTGGAGATGAACGTACTCAAAAATAGTCTTCAAAAGAAAGCAACACAGCCTGAACTTAATGAGCAGATAGAGGTGAAACAAAAAACCAAAACAAACTACAATGAAGGAATTTCCACCACGGGACAGGAGAAGTATTTACCAAATTCAAGAAGATAACAAGGCAGAGTCTGTTGGAAGGACGCCAACCAAGATAACTTCAGCCCAAAATAAAACACGCTTTGCTTCTGGCAACGCTGTGTTGTAATCATCTCTCTTATATATTATTCTCCCCAGCTGCCACCAATGAGGGGGATCATGGCCGCTTCCTCTCTCATAAGCCAAGTTGTTCCCTTCTCCGTTCCTCCCTGTGTGCCCTAGGATGCAGACGGGATGGGCCTGGGTCTTCCTCTGACTGCCCAGCCGGCCTCTGCCCTTCCCCAGCCTCTTCCACAACCTCCGGAACCACACCTCCACTCCCTGTCGGCTGTACCTCCTCTTCCTCAGAGTCCGACTCTAACAAGGGCATGACAACGTGTGAATGTGTGTTACACGTTGCATATTGGGTATGTGCACAATGGGCACTCGGTGCCAAAACGGTTTGCCATCACTGGTGTAGGCTCTCCTGCTTGAGTAGGGGGTTGGACTAGAAGTCCTCTGAGGTCCCTTCCAAACTGGTTATTCTGACTCATCATATGGCCATGTAATGCAAGAACTGGAACAGCTTCCGAGTTCTACTCCTCCCTGATAAGTCAGGTCACACCTGGAAAATTGTGTCCAGTTTTTTTGGACTTCTCAAATTCAGGTGGGTTTAGTGAGAACAGTTGGAGCAGGGAAACCATAAACCATGAGGCTGAGCCTCCACCCCCCAGTTTGGTTGGAGGTCAGCAAACCATCTGCAAGGGAGATTTCTGTCCAAAGCAGGATTGGCCCCTTCCAATGTCACCCGGCCTTCACAAGCCCAGCCAGAAACTCCCCACCCACAGCCAGCAAAAATCTTGCAATAATCCCAATTCAGCACCTGAGGCTGAATACCAAGCGCCAGATGTCGAATCACAAAGCCTGAATAAGATCTGGATAAAAGAGAGAGAGAGCTGAAAAGAATAAATATGAGCAGGCTTTTTAGAAAACAGCGATGGAAGTGGGTGAGCAGAAATCTGCAGAAAATGTCCCTTGCTTAGTGCCAAGTCTATTTATGTCATGAGCCAGTGTTCCCCATCTCCTCACGCCGGTTGTTGGATAAGCGATGGGAGGGGCATACATTTTATAACAGATAAACAAAACATCTATGGGGGGGGGGGAAAGAATCGGAGAAACGAAAGCAGAGGGAACACACAGGGACATGAAGAATGCGGAGGAATTTGGCAGAAAAAAAGCTGGTTGCAGGATCCTAAAATTTGACAGTGGGGGAGGGGGGGGCATGTGAATGGGCCCATTTAAAAACATTGCACAGAATGGGGACATTTTTAGGAACTTAAGGCCAGTGTCCTGTTCCGGTGAACGTTGTTACTTTTTAAATTTCCTTCTGGTGTGGTCCTTTATTCAGCACCACCCTAAACAATAGACCAAGGGTCTTAAAACTTGGCAAGTTGAAGGCTTGTGGACTCCAACTCCCACAATTCCGGAGCTAACGTGACTGGAGGAATAATTCTGGGAGTTGGAAGTCCACAAGTCTTAAAAGCTGTCAATTTTGAAGACCCTTGGAATAGATACATAGAGAAAGAGAGATAGAATAGATAGAGAGATAGAATAGATCAAGGGTCTTCAAACTTGGCAAGTTTAAGACTAGTGGACTTCCAGTTCCCAGCATTCCTGAGCTAACATGACTGGAGGAGGAATTCTGGGAGTTGGAAGTCCACAAGTCTTAAAGTGGCCAAGTTTGGGGACCTCTGGTATAGAATAATAGGATTTGAAGGGACCTTGGAGGTCTTCTATTCCAACCCCCTGCTCAAGAGACCCTGTACTATTCCGGATTTTCTTTGGGCTCGGTGGGAAGGATACACATGATCATAGAAAGAGTAACAGAGTTGGAAGGGACCTCGGAGGTCTTCTAGTCCAACTCCCTGCTCAAGCAGGAGATCCTATATACTAGTATGTCAGCAAATGGTTGCCCAACCTCTTCTTAAAAACCTCCAGCGATGGAGAATTCACAACTTTTGAAGGCAAGTCTTCCCACTGGTTAATTTTTCTCAACGGTCGGGAAATTTTCTCCTTAGTTCTAGGTTGCTCCTACGCCACATTAGACCCTTGGTTGTACAGTAACAGTAGTGGAGTTGGAAGGGATCTCGGAGGTCACCTAGTCCAACCCCCTGTTCTCGCAGGAGACCTATAATATTTCTGATAGATGACCGTCGGGTCTCTTCTTAAAAACCTCCAGTGTTGGGGGCCCTTCTGGAGGCAAGCTGTTCCACTCATCAAAGACTTACAGAA